AGCTCAGCGCCAAGGTCGCCAAGGGCGAGATGACGTGGGTCTAATCGACGCAAGTCCACTAGAACGTTTTCTGGCTATTGTAAACTATTATCTTTTTCGATTGAAACAATTGTACTTTTTCAAAAGTCGGTGAGGCATCCGAGTAGATGTAGTACCAGCAAGCGACAATAGGGACCGAGCTTGATTGTGGAGCTGATCCAGCAATTAGCACTAGCATGGACATTCTTTTCCTGACGCATTCCTGTCGTACCAGTCTCCAGAAATAGAACAATGTTATTCAAATATGGAGATGCCATGCACAAGTTGTCACGAACGGGAACGACAAGTACTACACTATTGTAGTCCATGAATCTCGTCGTTGGCCATGCGCGGAAAGAGAACGTCGACAAGCGTCGGCACGTGCGGCGCGCTCACGTGCACTTGGTGCTGCTGGTGCAGAAGCTCCGAGAGCGTCCGGTGGCCCAAAAACAAGCTGCACGCAACCGTGCCGGGTAGCAAGACGCGGTCGGCATCGGGCTCGGCTCTCACCAAGTCGTTTTCAGACACCCCCCGGGGAATGTCATCGATCGCCGACACGCGCCCACACTCGATGCGCAGCCGCGTGCCGCCACCCACCACTCGGTACGCCTTGTGCAAGACGATCGTACGAGAGACGGCGTAGAACGCAGCGTCCGACGCCAGCCGGTGCTCAAGGACCGGGGCAATCGCCCGCAGAAACGCTGTCCACGACGGAATGCGCGTGTACCAGTGGCCCGACGGCGTCTGGATCGGGACGTACGACGACGGCACCGCGCGCAGCCCTGGGTGGCACCCCCCGAGCTCTAGCGTGAAACTCCAGTTACTGGGAAGCTCTTGCGTCAATGGTGCGATCGCGTCGCCGCCCGTCGCCTGCGCTTCAAGCGTCTCGACGAGGTGCTCGAACGGAACGCAGTTGTTAAGGTAGTTGTGCGGGAGCCACCGAAGCAGCGATGGCGTCACGTCCGCCCACGAGAGCTTCCGGGGTACGTTGGACGCCTCGTCGAGCTCGAACCGTGTCACTGTCTTGTGGAGGTTGAGGCGCACAAACCCGATCGGATGCGACGCGTTGTCGTTGGTCTCGATGATGTAAAATGGCCGCGTGCCGTAGCTACCGGTCCAGAGCTCCGAGACGAGGAAGCGCCACTGCGCAGCGTCCGCGTCCGAGTAGATGCCTTCGCGCGCCAGCGACGCGGCCCGCGCGACGCGATCTAGAAACGGAACGTCGGCCGCTGTCGCCTTGCGGAAGCGCACGGGCTCGGCCTCGGTGCGCAGCGGCGGAATCGTTGCGACGTGCCCGGTGTAGCTAACACCGCGCCGGGGGCAGAGCTCGTAGCCGAAGCGAGTGTAGTAGCTCGGGATCCCGCCGATGAACTGCAGCTCCGAGCTCAGCGCGGCGGCCCACGCGTGGTGCACCTTGAAATGCTCGGCAATGAGCCCGCGCCCACGGTACGCTTCCAGCGTCCCGATTGCTTCCGGGCGCACGACAGTGAGCGGTACGTGCAACGACGACGACGCGTCGCGCTTGTTTGGGATACCGTAGCACCACACTTGCGGAATCGACTGGCACGACGAGACGATAAGGTCGTTCTTGGACGTGTCGACAATGATGGTAAAGGACTCGGGGCCGGCTTTCGGAGGCAAGATGCCCGACCCGTCCTGGGCTTGGAACCGGTCTTTGGTCCAGCCGCCAAATTTGGTCATGTGCCCGTGGGCCGTGCCGTTGAAGGTGACGAGCGCGTGCTGGTCGGCGGGCGTCGCACGCCGAAGCACAAGGTTGTTCCCAAGCGAAATAGGCTCGGGACACAAAAGAGGCCGGTCGGGGTTGGAGGACGCCAAGAACGCGTGGAGATCGGCTGCGGAGCAGGGCTGCATGGCACTGGACGAGGCAGAACTGAAAATGTGGATCCAATTTCAGTTTCAACGGGTCGCTCAGGACGTATAAGTGCAGAGACTGGACCCTGAATACTACTAATCATGGTGGATGATAGTATGCACGGCCAGGTGCGGGACGGCCCTAATCCACGGATCGGAAAAAGTGTTGACGTACCCTCTGATCCAGCTGCGTGGCTGCACAGTGGCCAACCTGCATTCTGCTTGGAAGAGTGCTGGTCGGTATTTCTTCTGGAATCTTCGATGGACCATCCGAGCATGACGTGGCAGGCGGAGAGCCCATTCAGTGGTGCCAGCCGTATATGATGGATGATGAGGGCAATTAAACGCACCGCAACACGCCACATGCCTGTAGATTGATACATTCCACGTTGACCCAGCTTCGACTTCAACCCTCATACATCGACTCAACCTTTGGCTGGGGAGATCGATAATACACGCACTGTAGGTACAGAAGACCCAGAGGCCTGCTCGCTCTGGTACCCAACGGACGCTAATGCACCAATCATGAAAAATGAATACCTTGATTTAACGTAGAACCAAAATCTAAAGAGAGAGCGGTGTTTCGTGCAATGGAGTGCAAGCGCGCGGCTCGTCTTGTCTGACAAACCCACGTCATCGGAGCATTCGGTCGTCACGTAAAGCATCTCTTTCAGATATTTTCGAGCTTGAACCCCATCAATGACGCCCCCAGTTGATCATGCAGCTGTGCTGTACACATTTCAATGACTATGTAGGGGCGAATTACTCCAAGCGCTGCGCGCTGATATATCAAGGCATCCTCTTATGCTTAGCACTCTCGCTGTCGATGAGGCAGGACTAAGAACGTATTTTCAGAGATTTCACAGCCGATATTGGCAACAGCATTCCCATGATTTAATGCTTGGTAGTAACACGGCGTCAGAGGAGACGAGGCGCAACATCAGCGCCCGCATCGAGAGTACCGTCCATGTAGAATTTCCTTGGGTACAAGCTCTAATATGGACAGATAAGAACTCGGACAAGATCTCGTACCAAGTAGTAGCTACTGCGTCTCTTCTCGCAATAGAATAAAGTCCGTCACCCAAGGGCACCGTTTTGGCTCGTACGTCACAGGACAGTGAAAGAAGACTTGCAATCGTTTACACATGGGCCGTTTCCAAAACGTGGAAGAGGATTTCTGCACAAGGCCGAGCGATGCAGAAGACCAAGATCTGATAGCTAGATGCACACACGCTACAAGATTCAAAATCCAGGCGCAGAGCAAGCGAGCTCAAGCCATTTTCAAATTGGTAGTGTCAATCCACATTGCTTAGTAGGCATCTATATCTAGAATGCTAGCTCTACGACGGCTCGCAAGTTACGCCCCTTCGTGAAAAGGTCGTTTCGGCTTGCTGCGCGCGCAAAACACCCAACTCGCACCACTGGCATGACGGACACGAACACGGTTGCTGTTCCCAAAGGTAGTTCGGTCTTGATCGAGGAATGACCGTGTTCACGCCACTGACATCTAGCGTCCATGGTTCCAGTCGTCTTCGAAGCACAGGCGCCTCGGCTGAGAACCTGCGCCAAGCCATGCGCCGCGCTGCTTTAGGTTTTTTCATGGTGTGCCGGTACTATACAAGTATGTGTTGTAGACTCACAATGACGATAGTAGCGAGATCTCTTAGAGTTAGCGACGGCAATTATCGACGGTTCGTCGCTCATCAACGTCGTGTAGAGGAGCGTTCTTGCGGTAGAATCTACTGCCAATAGCTCTACAATTGGTGAAGCCTAGGCAGATTGGAGTTGCTGCGCGACCACATGCCCGTTTACAACTATCAATGGACATCCAACTGTCCTATTCAAGGCCATGGGTTTGTAGAAGTATTCTTGGACAGACAAAAGCTGGTGTACATCATATGCACACCTGGACGAAAGAGCTTGAAACTTCACTTCTCGAGACCTTGCCGCGCATCATTCAGAGCTGGTACGAATTAAACCCTGCAACGAGCGCTATTGCGCATTCACCAACGACGACACGACTCGAAGATCACTGGATCGCTCGGCGTTTGCGCCATAAAAAGCGACCGCATGGCGTGACATCTGCTCGGACCACAGACCTCGCTGTCCATCGCGCCTTGACACCGAGGCAACAAGTTCCAGCCAACTACGCTCGGAATCAATCCACAACTAAAAGTATATCTAAGGTCGCTCGTGATATCTTTCGAAAGTCGAAGAAAACCAAGATGCGTTCCCATGGTCCTCGTTCGTAGAGCGCATCTATAATAGGACCATCCGCGCGTTCGAAATTTGCGACGATCCCAACCGTCGTATCGACAACGCCCACAACATGCGTCCTTGCCAAAGCTCCTAGTTCTCTCACCCGCCGTGTCCGTAAATATAGCTGGTCTATAGTTAAGCAACCGCATCGCGGTGGCCGTCCACGCCGCAGCCATCCGCGGAACGACCACAAGAGTTTTGCGCCCTATGCTTCAACGTAGGACCTCAGCATACAAATCCTTGGATAGATCCGGTAAAGTGCGCATTGCGCATTCCAAAGTACTCGGTTTGGCGAATTATATGGATAATGCGACCCGTATCCGGACATTACCGGATACAACGGCGAAATGATTGGCTCCAATTATGATAATTCTTGATTGCTCATTCAGTGTTGCAGTACAGTGCAAAGTGGGAAGATCCATCAAGCAACGGTTCTGTTCAACCATTTCCGCTTTTGCCAGCATGTTTGCATCTCGATCTCAAGCTGTCCGCCGCACCATGGCGCGCCACGCGTCTCGCACCTTCTCGTCCACCGAGACGGCGGCTTCCGAGCGCCTCATCATCTTTGACACAACGCTCCGCGACGGTGAGCAGTCGCCCGGCGCGACGCTCAACTTTCAAGAAAAGATGCACATCGCCAAGGGCCTTCACGCCATGGGCGTCGACGTCTGCGAGGCCGGCTTTCCCATTGCGTCGCCCGGCGATTTCGACGCGGTCTCGGCGATCGCCCAAGAGATTGGCCCGCTCACGCGCGCGGCCAACGGCGACCTCATGACCATCTGTGGCCTCGCGCGCTCGAGGTGAAGGACATCCAGCGCTGCTACGACGCCGTGCGCCATGCGCCCAAGCACCGCATCCATCTCTTCCTCGCGACCTCCGACATCCACCTCAAGTACAAGCTCAAGATCTCGCGCGACGAGTGCATTCGGCGCGCGGTCGAGGCCGTCTCGTTCGCGGCCTCGTTGACGTCCGACGTCGAGTTTTCGCCCGAAGACGCCGGGCGCTCGGACCCGGACTTTCTCTGCGACGTGCTCGCCGAGGTCATTGCGCGGGCGCAACGACGCTCAACATTCCTGACACGGTCGGGTACACGATCCCGGAGGAGTACGGCAACCTCTTCTCGTACTTGATCAAGAACACGCGCGGCAGTGAAAAGGCCATCTTCTCGACGCACTGCCACAACGACCTCGGTCTCGCGACTGCGAATGCGCTCGCGGGTGTCGTCGGCGGCGCGCGCCAGGCCGAGGTGACCATGAACGGCATTGGCGAGCGCGCGGGCAACACGTCGCTCGAGGAGCTCGTGATGACGCTCAAGACGCGCCCGCACCTCTTTCCCGTCCACACGCGCATCGACTCGACGCACATCATGCGCTGCAGCCGCATGGTGAGCCACTACACCGGTATCGCGATCCAGCCCAACAAGGCGATTGTCGGTGCCAACGCCTTTGCGCACGAGTCGGGCATTCACCAAGACGGTGTGCTCAAGCACCAAGCGACGTACGAGATCATGCTGCCCGAGTCGGTCGGTTTGACGGAAAACCGCATGGTCCTCGGCAAGCACAGCGGCCGCCACGCGTACAGCAAGCGCCTCGAGGAGCTCGGCTACACGGACTTGACGCAAGCGCAGCTCGATATGTTTGTGGAAAAGTTCAAGGTCCTCGCCGATGACAAGAAGACGGTGACGGACGCGGACATGGAGGCCATCGTCTCGGACGACCTCTTCAAGCCCGAGACGTTCTGGACGCTCCAGGCGGTGCACGTGACGGCCGGCAACCGCGTCAAGCCGACCGCGACGATCACGCTCAACTACAAGGATGGCACGGAAGTGAGCGAGGCGGCGATGGGGTCGGGTCCAATTGACGCGATTTACTCTGCGATTTCGCGCGCGACCGGGTGCGAGAACCTTTCGCTGCACGAGTACACGGTCGAGAGCATCACGGACGGCATCAAGGCGCTCGGCGACGTGACGATCCGCATCTCGGAGAACGAAAGCAACAAGTCGGCGCTCATGAACCCGCAGACCGAAGTGAGCCGCAGCCGCCAATATGTGGGCCACGGCGCCAACAGCGACATCCTCGTGGCGTCGGCGACGGCCTACGTCAACGCAGTGAACCGCCTCTTGGCCGCCAAGGAGCGCGACGAGGCGGCCGCCCGGCGCGAGAGCCGCGCGGCAGCATAAGTGTCGACTATTTAGAGCCTATTTCTTGCACTTTCATATACAATCCTTGTGTTTTGAATCTGTCATATCATGTCCAGTGGAGAGACGTGGCACCCGGCAAACGTTGAACGCGGTATGTGAAGCACGACACGTGGTTGCCACCGCTGCAGCGTCCTCATCTCACGGCTTGTGCACAGCTGGTGCACAGCTCTAAAATCGTGGCATTCGGAACGCTATGCACCTGTAACAGATTTTGTACTAGTACAGCTGTGTCGGCTCAAATTTCGAAGGCCAGAAAGGAGGGAATGTCCCACCAAGGGGAAAATGTCCCAACAATGATACGTCGGTGGTTGTGCCATTATGGATATCTTCGATTCATTTAGGCCCAAATTGACAGTAGCAGATATGCTGTCTTCTATGCGTCACTCTGGCTATATCAGTGGCAACATTCTGCACATCAACATGTACGAGAAATATATGTCGAGCTTAGTGCAATCTTATTGCTGCCGTATTCGCGTTAAAGACACCATGGGGATGACTCGAGCGGTCGCTGCAGCCCCACAAAGATGCCTTTGATGTGCATGAATGATTTTTCCTTCATGCGCCGCGGCACGTCGGGTTCTTGCAAGTCGAGGACGTTGAAGGCGTACGGTGATAGTGTGCGGGTCTCGGAGACGGACGATTTTGGATTCTCACGCGCTTGCCTTAAACTGCAGAGGAGGCTGAGGCGTAGCTTTTCACAAAGCTCTTCATTTTCGTAGCAGAGGAGGTAGCAGTCGGCGCCCGAGAGACTGAGTGTCGGGCTGTTCTTGCAGTGTGGGTCGAGATCGAAGAGGGCGTAGATAGCGCCTCCGCGACTAGGTGTCGCGTCGCGAAACGGACGTACCAAGCTCAAGAGCGCCCGGTTCTTGATCGTGTTGTAGAGGTAGCTGCTGTAATCGCGCGTGCCAAGGCGGGGTAGCAGATCTACATCGTGTTGACGTCAGAGATAGAAAAAGAACCTCGTGAAGAATACGGTGGCGCACAAAAGCCGCGGTAAAACCGTAGGTCACTGGCATGCAGGCAATGCTCAGCGTGTAGAGGACACAGCCGAGCACGAGCTCATTTTCCTGACTCGTCTTGTCGACGGGGACAGGAGCTGTAAAGCACCATTGATAGGCAGCCGCCAGCGCGGCAACGTTGCCGCTGAGCCACGAAATGAGCGGCCCGTAGGCGGTGACGCCAATTGCCACCATGGTTGTGTCGACGTCGGCAAAGAGATGTTGCTTGGAATAGCGCCGGAGATAAAACGCCGTGAGGCAAAGTGCAAAGTAGCCAAACCAGACCTACTGAGATGCTCCGTTGATCCCTCGATATCGATGGATCGACAAACGCACCGTCCGTGACAAGTAGAGGATGTTGAGCAAGTTGACGGCGAGGTCACCGTTCTGGGAGGCGCGCAGCACCGCGACACCGACATTGCCGATGCTGATCCAAATGTCGACGAGAAAGACCAGCGCGACCATGGGATCCATGAGGATGATGGCGGTGGGGTCGCCCAGCACGAGCTCGTAGCGCCAGTTTGTTGTGGGTGGCGTTGCAAAGTGGCTCGCGCGTGCGAGGCGTTGATAGAGCCCCACGCAATGGCGATAGTACTGCGTCCAGAGACGATAGACCACAAAGCAGGTGCTCATAATACGGTAGGCAAACTTGCACCAGAGCCATTTGTAATACCGAGTCGCATTGTACACGTACGTGAGCGTCACGGCGTCCGGCTCGGTTGCGTTCGTGAGCGTGTTGCCGTGGTCGATCCAGTAGCACGACGTGCCAACGTTACGGGACGACAGCGCGTTGGCAAAACACCCACCCGGCGGAAAATGCAACTCCGACGCGTTTTTTGTTGCGACGAGACTGCAAAGCAGATCCATTTGCGCGGGTGTGTAAAAGATCAAACCCGGCATGCCGAGCAGAAACGAGCCAAGACACGCATCTCGGGCCAGCGGTGCCAATGCGAATGGATAAAGCACTTGCCGCATCACTTGCACGTCGTTGGTCCAGTCGGTCACGTAGGTGGCCCCCCGCGGAAGCGTGGCGTTGTTGTACAGTCGCTTGTCAAAGGCGAGCATGTGCGCGCTAAAGTCGGAAAAGTTGCTGAACATGTCGGGCATGACGGGCGGTGCGCGCCAAGGGAGGTACTCGGAGATGTACGCCTTCATGGGCTACACAAGACGAGGGATACCGCAACGAGGAGGTGATGCGAGAAGGGTACCATGGACGCAATGTTGAGGAGCGAGCAGGCACTCAAAAAGAGACCGACGTAGTTGCACTTGACAGCGTAGCGCCGCGTCGGCTGCTGGCTGCTGTCGGCGACACGCGGCATCGAAACGTATAAAGTACGCCCTTGCGCCGAAACCTTCCGTGACGTGGCACGACCGAAACGGCACCGTGGATTAAAAAAACCCTACGTTTCTAGCAAGGCGATGAAACCCACGAGCTGTCAACAGTTGCCAAGAGTTGAAGTAAACAACGAAAGTACTATTCATGGGTTGATTGATAAGGGTCCTTTGGCGACCTTCTCCACGCCAGCAAGGACCACCCGACAATCAAGGCTCTCCTCGCATCGCCCAACACGATGGTCATCAGCTCTCATCGAATGGTTCTCGCACATCTACACCATGCATGGCTCGCCACGCCCAGCTCCGCTCGTGTATCACCGTCTTTCGCTCGGGCACAACGCGCATCTTCCTGCGTCAAGCAAGCTCAAGTGGCTCGCAAGAGATCACGTCGCGTGAGACTCGAGACGCTCGCCGCTCAAGGTGACACACATGTAGACAGCTTCCAAGCCCTTGGAAACACGGTCGCCGATCTCGAAGAACAACTACCAGGACTTTTTCCAGCGCTGCAGCCAACCCTCTGCTGGATCCGGCTGCTCGCGACCGCTCTTGGTCACAAGTTCGGACCCCGAGTCGTTGTTGTTGGTGAAGTGGGTCATCTGTTACAATAGATAAAACTATGGGACATTTTGCAGATGCAACTCCCGTCGTCGGTCGCTAGGTTTCTTTACGACGATGTCGCCGCGCCGTACTCGGCCCACAAGCTGTCCGTTCGTGTCCTCTGGCCGTTCTTACGTGCTTGCGTCTGGTATTGTCTTTGGCTCGATCGCAACAATCGTGTCTTCTGCCGCACGACGCTGACGCAACTTCCCGTGGCGCACACCACATTGGCTGACGCAACTTCCCGAAGTAGCCGCGATTATCGATGAGTGCTTGGACCCGTTCTTGGACTCGGTCTCGATCGGTCCGGCCTTGGCCCATCTCTACAATTGCATGGCCAACGACAAGTGCACGCGGCTCCGCCTACTCCACTGTACCCGAGTCGCCACCGACACAATCCCGAAGATCAAAGCTCGAGCGTGAGCTCACCGTTGCGCTGGCGGACCTGAACCGCCACCCGTGCCAAGCCATCATCGAAGCCATCTTCGACATCAAGCGGCGTCTCGAAGAACACAACGCACATGTTTAAGAGCACAAGACGGAAGCGGCAGTCCAACGCCATCTCGAGGAAACCGCCCGATGCACCAAGCTCTACTTGCGGTTTCTGTCGATCAAGAAGCTGGGACCCGACGCGATCAACCAGACGCACGACACCACCGGTCAAGCTCGCACCAGGCCATAGGAGATCTCGCAGTGCAAGACGCGCCTTCCGACCGACATGGCAGAGCGCCTCGGGGCACTGGTACTAATCTTCGAGCTCTACAAATGCATCGAGCGAGCAGCGCGTCGCAAGTCGCCTGGCCCGAACGCGCTGCCCTACAAAATACTTAACCCTCCGAAGACCTGCGCCGGCCAAGTGGGCCAGCGCGCTCTTCGACCAAGCAACGCTCACGCCGGACCAGCTCCAAGGCACGACGATCTTCTTGCACGAGAAGGGCATAGTACTGGTTCGACATTCGCGTGGGGCCGAGCGCGTTTCCGGCGCAGTCGCCGCCGGTCCACGGACAATCTTTGCTCCAACCAGTTTCTCCCGGAAGATAGATGTAGTTACAAAGAAAATACCACAAGATCGCACACTCGGTGTGCACGAACGATGGCCAAGATCGGGGTCACCCAAGCCCAACACATCCACACCTTGATGCTCGCCGCCGCCCCGACGGAGGCGCTCGGGACAAAAACTCAACACCTCGTCCAAGCGGTGACGGCAAAGTGCCGTTGCCGCAACCTCGGCCCACACGTGACACCGAACGACACGTGGCTCAGCTGGCTCGCTACGACTACGACTGTCGATGCCTTCACGTGTGACCCTGTGTCAAGCCCGACTCCCAAGCCGCCATGTTTGACTTCACAAGGTTACCAAGCCGTTGACCCTGACGAGGCCCGCCGAAGTCTGCCGCCGTCGTGTCCCGCCAAGGCTGCGCTTGCAGCTTCCGACCCGCCACGTGGGCGTCGATGACGACTTCTATGAGACGTCTGCTGCCGTAGCATTCGCAGCCGAGCTCCGATTACCCGGCGCCATTTTACCCAAGTACGCCTACTTTTTCTATTAAGTGATGCTCCGCGCGATCAAGTTCCACGCACATCTACACTGGCTCGACCAAGCCTGTCTCTTCTGCCCCGAGCACGAAATGTACCACCACTTCCTCGTAGACTGCGATCTCATCAAGGACGTGTGGAGCACGATTCACGCAGTCACGGTTCCTTTGGGTGCGACCTTGCCGATAACCCTCTCGGGCTGCTTCTACTCGACGCCAAAGATGACGTCCAACATGCACCAAGCTGCGTTCCGCTACCACTGGCCAGTGCTACGCGCCTGCGTCTGGTTCAACGTCTGGCGAGTCCGGAACGATCGCGTCTTTCGCACCGACCTACCGCTGCCAAGGCCATGGACGATTGCCGTCAAGGCAGCGCGTGTCGCTCAACTGCCACCACAGCCTCGTACATGAGCCCGAGCAGCCTGCTCTTCGTCGATTTCTCCGGCTCCTCGCCCAACACGAGTAGCCGCGCCGGCACCTCGTCCCGCGGATCGCGCTCCTGCCTCCGCCAGCCTACATCAAGCTCCTTAACCGCAAATGTACACGACGAAGTAAGGCCGACAAATTTATCTAGCATAGTTATATCTATTGTATTAGACGACCCACTTCAACAACAACAAGCAACGCAAAAGCAGAATGCAAATGTACAGAAAGGGCTCCAGGTGTGTAGAAGACACCGTCCGCACTCCGTAGTGTAAGGTGTATTGGAAAATGAGTGGAGTGCCCGTGGTTTCGGTGTTTCCACGTAATTTATCTTTTCACCGCCCTGGTTTGGTGGCATCTTCTTGGCCACCCGTTGCTTGGATCCGGGCCGAAGCCGCCAAGCTCACGCTTACATGATGATCACGGTTGAGTGATCGTTCCAATCTGCGCCCTGCACACATTGAAGGGATGCTGGATTCATCCTATGGATCCGACTATCGTACCCACTTTAACACACGTCCCGAGATTACCGGTTCGATGCCGACGCACCGATTTTTCTATCGAGGCTCCCCACCCATCCGGTGACGAATGTCACTGAAGATGGTCACCATTATACAAATCCACGCTCGGCAAGTTCAACAAGGTGCACATGGAAGCAGCGTCATGCACCCGGCACATGCAGGAAATGATGCCTACCGGTAAAAGGGTGGGAAGACGCTAGAAATAGGACCCTTAGTCCGTAAAAACCGAAAAGAAACACTTCAACAACAAGACAGCCCTGGGGCGGGTGCCTTCATCCATACAACTCGTGTTTGTGATAGCCTTGATGATACTCTTTACGGTTGTCTTCATGTCCGACCTCCTGTCCGACATCATGTCAACCTCGTGAAGTGGTCTCCTAGACTGTGTTGTCCACTCGTTCCCTCATTGAACTCCGGACGAAATGTAACGTGCCATACCAGCACCTATTTCTAGGGTCGTCTGGCCTCCAACCTAATTTCCGGTAGGCACGAATTTCTACCGTTGTCATCTCGTTTCTTGCGTTCAGAACGGGCCAATGTACTGTACACGAGTAGTAGTATTTGTGTGCGCACCCAAGTCTTCCTCGATGCATCGGCTAATACGACTAAGCGGCGTGAAGGAACCCCGTAGATAATGTGAGAAGCCTCGTTTGTCAGCTCACAGAGACAGTCCTCGTTGGCATTGTTGGGCAGCGCGGGCGAGGTGCTGGCTGTCCTTTTGCGATCTTTCACCCATTTCTATGCTTTTGATTGGTGCATTGTTCTCGCATTGGCCAATCAGAACACGATACAAGTGCAACCGCAACTGGCAGCTTATTCCAAAGCACACGTGGCAGCACGAGCGCCTCCGAGCGTGATAGGTAGGGGCTCGCTGCAGAACATACCGCAATGCAATTTCTATGCACGATTTTCAAGGTTCCCATGCAAATGGCGTGATGCCCAGTCGGCTTGCTCGTGTGCATGGAGAGACACTGCAGAAAGTCAGAGCTCATCTCGCGGTACGCCGAGAAATGTCGAATGGGCTCGACTTGAAGATCCGCTGCATGGTTGGTGTTACCGCCATGTGTTCACACCCTTCCGTACCCTTCGTGCGGAGACCAGGTTGGCGGAATCGACGCAAAGGCGCACCTAGTTTTGATCTCGACGGCACCTAAAGGGTATGCATCTACTTCGTCGCTATCTACGTTCAGGCAACCAACCAAGCTCGACTCGAACCTTCTATTTCCTCTTCGCTTCCCGTGAGCTTCTGGCAGATCGGGTCTTTTCTGCACTCCTGAGCACACAGGTTGGCATTGGTATTTTAAAAAAGCGTACGCCCCTTAAGTTGTCTATACCCCAGGTCCTCGACCAGCTAGACGACCACCATGAAGCTTTGGTTGCCCGTGGAACGTGGTCCGCCGACCGAGCCCAACAAAATCCGTCGGTGGCGGTTAGTATAAACACGCACCCAACAGCTGTTGAAATCGGTGCGCTTTTCGCCGCGCCTGCGACAATTTTCGCAACTCGGTGCCAACTCGGTGGTCGGCGTAACTTCAAACGCCGTATCGTCGCGGACCACCGACCCACATTGCACTTTACAATCCAACTTGCTTGAGCATGGTCAGCAGCATCGAGAGCCCGCGGTCTTCGGTGACAGACACGGCGTCCTTCATCGGCAAGGCGTCGCCGCCGCTCTGGTCGTACCTCATCCTCATCATCGCGGTCCTCGCCATGTCGTCCGGTGGCATTTGGTTTGCGCTCCTCACCGACACGCCGCCCTTCATGCAAGCGTGCTGGCGCCTCCTCCTCACGGCCTTTCTGCAGTTCTTTGGCCTTCTCTACGAGCTCAAGACGGACAAGGCGCTTGATGCTGCGTTTTGGCAGCGCTACAAGGCCTCTCTGCCGCTCCTCGTCATCATTGGCCTCTCGCTTGGGCTTCATTTTGGCGCGTGGGGCTGGAGTGTCGCCCACACATCGCTCTTGGACTCGCTTCTGCTTGTCTGCACGACACCGCTCTTGCTCGTGGCCTTGATGACACTGCGCTTCGCCTTCCGCGCAGTCCAAAGTCGCATGGCCTCGCCCATGGAGGCCTCGGCGCACGAGCCGTCGTCGGTCGTCGTCGTCGTCACGCCGCAAGCCGACCGCCATATCGAGATGGACGACGGCGCCATGGCGCTCGAGTACCATCCGCTGCACAAAGAGCAATCGCCCGCGCCAACGCTCTTCCAGCTCATTTGCTGCCCCGTGCGTCCGCTGCCGCCCACGGCCATGGAGGCCATCGGCGCCGTCCTTGGCTTCCTCGGCGTCGTCGTCTTGCTCGTCGCGAGCTCGGGCTCCGCCGACACGGGCCCCAAGGTAACGCTGGCGGGCAATGCGGCCGCGCTCCTCGGTGCGGCTGCCGTGCTTGTTTACTTTGAAGGCGGCGCGACCTGCCGCGAGTGGATGCCGCTCTTCGTGTACGCATTTCCAGTCACGTTTATCGCGACGCTCTGCTTGGCGATCGTGTCGCTCGCGTTCGAATCCGGCACGTCGGTGACCGGCCTCGGTCCCGCCGCGCTCTTTGGCTTCCTCGGGTCCTCGGATCGATTTGGCCTTGCGTTTGGCTCGGCCGCGGTCTCGGGGATTGCCGGCCACACCTTTGCCAACCTCGCCGTCAAGTACGTGAGCCCGCTGCTCATCTCGGTCGCGATTCTGTGGGAGCCCGTCCTTGGCTCGGTCATTGGCTGGCTCGTCGGTGTCCAAGGCGCGCCGGGCACGTCCGCGCTCGCCGCGACGCCGCTCCTCATGATTGGCGCGCTCTTGGTGACCGTTGGCAGCCGCGACAGTGGCATTGATCTCCTTGGCTACGTCAAGACCAAGACGATCGCGCTCTGCGGACGGCGACAAAACAACCATGTCTTTTAACTCGTGTAATAAATGTGCTGGATACGATACAATGTGTCTGTACATGTGCGCACTTGCGTTGTGTCCAAGTCGAAAAAGGCAGTTGCGTGTTGCAAGAGGGGTAGGTGACCTACCCCTGCAATATGATCCCATATGTGATCTGGGGACTTTTGACGCCACGGTGGTCGTGAGGGTCTGGCAACACGCGGCGACACCACACTTCAAAGAGATATCCTATAGCTACAATGACCATAGGGTTAGGGTTGCAACACCACTTCGTCCATACTCAATTTGTACGAGATTACGGCGCATAGCGAAGGTACGAGGGAAAATCGTCGCTCGGATCGTCGTCCATTGCCGCGTGGTCTCTTCGCTCAACGGCGCACTGCAGACCTGGGCCCTGCGGCGTCCAATGGGCCGCACGCGCTCGCATTGCAGCCAGGTGCTTGTCGTCGACGCCATCGACGACGACTTTGGTCACACGTGGCGTCACGTGACGCAGCCAGTCCTCATGGCCGTCGGTCCACGTCGTCTCGGTCGCATCGATGACGAGCGTTTGCACGTTCTCGCCGAGCGTCGGGTCGGTGCCATGCAGCTTGTTTAGCTCCGTCGGGAGCGGCACGCCGATCGCCTCGACGTGCAACGGCGCCTGCACCAAAAACGGCACTGGACGTGCCGAAGCGACGCGCTGCTCGCGCCGATGCTCTGGTAGTACGCTCCGGCCTGCCAGCCATCGACATGCAAGTCGAGCGTGGTCAGCGTCGGATGGCGCTCGTACGTTGCGTTCACGTGCCACGCGTCTTGGTGCAAAGTGAGCTGGCGCAATTGCGGAAAGTCTCGAAAACTCAAATTGAACTCGCGCCAATGGACGAGGGCGCCAGGTCGAATGCGCACAGCGTGCAGCGCCGAGAGCGGCAGCACCGGTTCGGCGTTCTTGCGGCGCTTGAGGCGGCACCACTTGCGGTC